TGGCCGCGAAGAGAAGAAGACTCCCGTTTCGGAGGTTCAACGCTAGTAGTAAATTTGTTTAACATTAGGTACTAATTCTCTCCCTCTTTCATTAAGTGACTTATAATTCGTACAACTCGCCTATCATGTAAAATTATGACGCCTAAGATGTCCGAATTAACGCTAGATCTCGATAATAATCAGATCGGATAAATTAATAGTCGTAACTGTGTATGTATCAACTAGGCTAGACTTCGACGGAAAAATATATTTATAAAAAGTTATAATATCATTAATATATATACGTTTCAAGCGTTCTATATATATATATGTATTTATATATATATATATATATATTCATTTATTTATTCATTTATATATATTTATTTATATATTTATATTTATACGTATGTATCATTACTAATCTTCTACTTATCTCTAAGCTTCCATCCTCGCAAATCGCATCTCTTTCATACATACTTCTACCCGATCCCCTTTCAAACAAGGAGATCTCTTGTGTGTATCTAGGTTCACTTTTTTTTTTATTTAATTCATAAGTAACTGGCTAAACTCCTCTCCGTTAAATATACAGACAAATAACTCGGATTCGAGGGATTGAAATAAAATAATGCATGAAACATCGTCACGTCTCCCGCGACAATTCATTTAAACGCAAATCACGCGAAGTTTATAATCGAACAAGGTTCTCTACACGCCCCCCCGATTATAACAATGCCGAACAAACGAACTCATTTACACCGAGTTGAAAGTCGCTCTAATCGACCTCATTCGATCGCATCATTGTCTTGGATGGAATCCGTTCCTTATTGGCTTAAACAACATGAACGTTACGAGCTCCTTGAACACGTTTATACAAATCTTCGTTTTTTTTTTTTACTTATTTTTCTTTTATTAAAGCATCAACGCTCGATAATAATATCGTTAAGATTATTAGACTTCTGACTTTTTGAACACCGAGCTACCGCTATGCCTCTCGCTCTCTTTCTCTCCCTCTCTCTCGCCCGAATTTCTTACTCACGCTCTCGTGCTCTCCCTCTCTTTCTCTCTCTCTCTCTCTCGCGTTCTTCTCTTAAAAA